CAGCCTCGATGGCACCGTGTGCGTCAACTATTGCAGCCTCGTGAGCCCGCGCAAGTTCAGCCTTGCCAGCCTCGAGCCGCGCACAGTGCGCCTGCGTCTCGGCGAGCGCCTCTGCAACAGACGCCCGTTGCGCCTGCTCCGACTCGAGCGACTGCTTCAAGGCATCACGCTCGATATTGGTGCGAGCGACCTCGGCCAATAGTGTCTCCTTCTCTCGCGCCAGCTCCTGGACCTCCTCGGCATGATTCGCAGCTCTCGCCTGCCGAAGCTGCTCCAGCAAGTCCTGCTCGAGCGTGCGGTGCCGGTCTATCTGCGCCTCGAGCCGTGAGACCATCTCGGCCAGCTGGACCGACTCCTTTTTGCAATGAACCACGTCCAGATTCAAGTCCTTCAGCTGAGCCCTCAGGAGATGCGTGGTCTGCTGCTCGGCAAGAAGCTGCTCGCGGATTTTGACCTTCTCCGCCTCGAGCTTTCTGGTGAGGATCTGGTGATTTCGCTTTGCAACCTCTGCGCCCTGTGTCGCGCGTTTCGCTGTCTCCGCGGCCTCGTCCGCCTCGGCAGCCTTTTGGCGCAAGTTTCTGCCTTTCGATAGAGCGGCCGCGTGCTTCCTGCTGAAGACCTCGGCGGTCTGCGACTTCATCTTTTCCGAGTCCACTCGGCCGACATCACGGGCGACGTCCCTCACGGGCGACGTCCCTCAAGGGCGACGTCCCTATCCCTAATGGGCGACATCCCTCACGGGCGACGTCCCTCACGGGCGAGATCCCTCACGGGCAAGATCCCTCACGGGCGACGTCCCTCACGGGCAAGATCCCTCACGGGCAAGATGCCTCACGGGCGACGTCCCTCACGGGCGACGTCCCTCACGGGCGAGATCCCTCATGGGCGACGTCCCTCACGGGCGACGTCCCTCACGGGCGAGATCCCTCACGGGCGAGATCCCTGATCCCTAATACGGACGGGACCCCTAACGGGCGAAAACCCTAACGGGCTCTCTACCGGCGAAATCCCTAACAGGCCAGACGCAAAAAAAAAACGTGGTGCGACCTTATTAGGACGGGTCGGGCCGCCGACTTTGTCGGAAGCGAACTTAGGCACAGCGCGCCCCCCTGTCCTGGACGGCCACAGGGGCTGCCAGGCGCGCAATCACTGGTAGTTCGACGCCACGTTCCCTCCGTTAGTGCACGAAAGGCGCGATCGGCAAGGACGAAACATCGGAGCCCGACAGCAGCTCGCTGGACGTCGCCGATGCAATCATGCAGCTCTCCTGGGCACGCTCCCTCCATCTTACATCTAAAGCGCCCCCTAGGAGCGTGCGGCGACCTGCCCTGACCGGCCCGAGCGACCCGCTTTAGGTCTCTTCTACTCTGCCTGACGCTGCCCGCAGCTCCGCACCGCAGCGTCCGCCAAGGAAACGGAGGCCAGATTTGGACTCTCAGGCCCCGTACGGGGCCTGAGAGCCCAAAGGGGTATAGCCCTATAGGGGTATAGCCCTATAGGGGTATAGCCCTAAAGGGTTTATGCCCTTAAGGGCTATATCCCTCCAGGGTCTATGAGGGATATGGCCCTGCAAGGAAAGGGGTTGGGCGGTTACGCCAGGGCGGGAAAAATCCTATACGGG